TGGGTGAGCTCATTATTGGCTTAGATTTTTAGTCGGGGGGGGGGGGGCTAGGCAGGCCGCTGAACCTCCACACCACCTCCCAAGATTTCACTTGACAGCGCCTGCACTTTCAGGCCCAGAATCTTTGCGGTTCTAAGGACGACAAGCCTTGCACTTAAAAAAAAAATTAAAAGTGGAGATTTTTGCTAATGCAGAACAGCAGCAGACCAAAGCATCACGGCAACTTAGACCTTCCGGGGCTGACTCTATTATTATTATTTTTTTAAAGACTTTCTTCCACATTTTATTTTTAGAAAAGTCTTCCTTCCACATTTCACTTAATCGGAACCGTTCTGCCCTCTGCATTTCCTTCCACGCAGGCCTTCCCTGGCCCCTTTAGCAAAGATTCCTCTTGTCGCAGCCACACCAGATATCTGCATGCTTAAAACTTTTGTTCCTGTTGTGAAACACAGCCCTAACGTTGCTCGGTTCTCCACACACACACACACCCCAGGGCTGGATGCCTCTTTCTTGTAAGGAGATTGGATTTATCTTCCCTACCTGAAGGAGTCTCAGAGTGACTTACAATCTCCTTTCCCTTCCCCTCCCCACAACAGACACCCTGTGAGGTAGGCAGGGCAGAGAGAGCTCTCTCAAGAACTGCCCTTGAGAGAACAGCTCAGACAGAACTTCTGACTGACCCAAAGTCACCCCCAGCAGCTACACGTGGAGGAGGAGTGGGGGACTCAAACCCAGTTCTCCCAGATTAGAGTCCGCTCTCTACCTGAAACCCTGGAGAGCCACCGCCAATCTGTAGAAAGGAGAGAGTTGGCAAAGGGTCCATATCAGTGTTCCCTCTAAGCTGAGTTAGTGTGAGCTAGCTCACTGTTTTTTAGCCTCCGGCTCACACATTTTTGTCTTAGCTCAGGAAGGAGGGCTCCAGAGCAAACTAATTTATGCAGTAGCCAAATGGCTCGCTCACAACTTTAATGCCAGTGGCTCACAAAATAGAATTTTTGCTCACAAGACTCCACAGTTTAGAGGGAACATTGGTCCATATGCTCCTAAAGCACTTACACCAAACTGGCTCTTTGTGCTGTTGCAACTGGTGCTGCCGAAGCAACTTTTTAAAAAATCTGCACCGCCAATCAAATCCCCAACTGCCTATCAGCATCCTCACTGGGCAAAAGGCCCACCTGCCCTGCCCGCTTTCTAAAACACTTGGCGGGCACAAGCAAAGGTGTCGGCAGGTACTACGCTGGGGACTCCCAAGCTAGACCACCCTTCCAGAAAAGAAAAACACCTAAATCTTAAACCAAAAATCACCAGCAGATGAAAGACCACATCGACTACAAGCACCACATGTTTAGGTTCAGAGAAGAGGGGGGGGGACACCCGAATTGGGTCCTTGCCGTTGCCAAACTCTGGGGGGTCGCACCTCACCTTTTTCTTGGGGACCGGAGGTGGCTTGGGGGCCGCTTTGGGGGGGTGAATGATTCCGTTGGTTTGCTCCTCCCGCAGCGCCAGGATGGAAGACGAGTGTACCACGGTGAGGTGGGGCAGCAGCCCACGGTGCAGGCACTCGCAGATGTACTGGGGGAAGGAAGAAGAACCGAATTAATGAGAGCCCGGCAGCAGCTGCAGGCAAAGAGAGCGGAGCCGCTGACTCAGGAAGCAGGAGAGGAAGGGAAATGGGGAGAAGAAGGAGAAGGCGTCCCGATAGTTGCCTCGGAAGAACAATCTGGTAACAGCAGAAGAATCCCCAAAAAGCTCGACAAAGAGGTCGACCCCGGCATGCGGCCGCAGTGAAAAAGGCGAACTCCAGATGAGGAATGATTAGGAAAGGGACTCCAAATCAAACGGCCCATGCTGTAGCGCCCTTGTATAGAGCTCCGGCGCACCTGCGTTTGGAATGCTGGGTGCCGCTCTGTCCGCCGTATTTCAAAAAGGATAGCACAGAGCTGGGAAAAGGAGGGCAAGTCGCTGCTGGAGGAGGCGGTGATGGCCACAGGCACAGACAGCTTGTAAAGGTGATTAAAAAGATTCCTGGAGGAGAGGTCTGTCTGTGGTTACTAGCTCTGGTGACTAAAGGGAACCTCAGCATTCAGGGGCAGTCGACCTCTGAAACCCAGTGCCAGGAGGCAAAATCAGGGGAAGGCCTCGGGCTCTATGCCCTGTTTGTTGGCCCTCCAGAGGAACTGGTTGGCCACTGGGTGAGACAGGAGGCTGGACTAGATGGACCTTCGCTGGTCTGATCCAGTAGGGCTCTTCTGATGTTCTTATGAAGGCCTCGGCCTCTCGGCCCTGTTGTTGGCCCTCCCGAGGAACTGGTTGGCCACTGGGTGAGACAGGAGGCTGGACTAGATGGACCTTCGCTGGTCTGATCCAGTAGGGCTCTTCTGATGTTCTTATGAAGGCCTCGGCCTCTCGGCCCTGTTGTTGGCCCTCCCGAGGAACTGGTTGGCCACTGGGTGAGACAGGAGGCTGGACTAGATGGACCTTCGCTGGTCTGATCCAGTAGGGCTCTTCTGATGTTCTTATGAAGGCCTCGGCCTCTATGTCCTGTTGTTGGCCCTCCAGAGGTGCTGGTTGGCCAACTGTGTGAGACAGGATTCTGGACTAGATGGACCACTGATCCAGCAGGGCTCTTATGAGGTTCTTAACCAAGATGATGTGGATATTGGAGCACCTTTCTTATGATGCGAGGCAAGAGAATTTGGGACTTTTTAGTTTAGGAAACAAGACAGCTAAGGAAGGCATGACAGAGGTTTATAAAATTATATCAAGTTTCATTTATTGTCTTAGCCATTGGCCATAACAGCACAAAGTAAATCAAAATATAAAATTATATATGAATGAATGATTGCATCTTAATTTCGTTGTACTATGTACAATGACAATAAAGTATATTATTATAACATGGGGCAGAGAGAAAGGATGGAGGGAATTTTTTCTCTCCCTTTCCCGAAATACTAGAATTCTAGGGCACCCAACAAAGTTGCTGGGAAGTAGGTTCAGGACAGAAAAAAGGAAAAACTTCTTTGCCAATGACTGTGTCCTGACCTGGATAGCTCAGGCTAGCCTAATGCTGTCAGATCTCAGAAGTTCAGCCCTGGCAAGTATTGGGATGGGAGACCGCCAAGGAATACCAAGGTCATGACAAACAGGCTGGCAATGGCAAACTGCTTTTGAACGTCTCTTGAACTGAAAACCGGACAGGGTCGCCATAAGTCAGCTATGACCCGAGAGGATTTCCTACCTCCAATTAGATTGTGGAATTCACTGAAAACAGTTACGGCCACGAGCACAGATAGCTTTAAAAGGGGGTTAGACACAGAGAAGAGCCTCCACATTCAGAGGAAGTAAACCTGCGGATCCCAGTGCCAGGAGGCAACCGTGGCCCTCATGCCCTGTTTGGCTGCTGTGTGAAGCAGGATGTTGGACTAGACGGACTACTCATTGGATCCAGCAGGTTCTGCTTCTGTTCTGATGAGGTAAGCTGTTGTTTTCTTTTTAAACGCTCAGGTTTCTAGTCCTTTTGAAGAAAAGGCTGACAGATTCTAAGAAATAACTGGGAAAAAGAGACGCTCCGGCACTTCTCACCAGAGTGAGGCACCATGTCCCCAATCAAAACGAACCAACGATCCGTGCTGGCAAACCATGACTCATTCTGCAATCCAGAACTGAACAAACACGAACACACAGGAAGTTGCCTGACACAGAATCAGACCCTTGGTCCATCTTGTCTACGCAGACTGGTACGGGCTCTCCAGGGTCTCAGGCAGAGGTCTTTCCCATCACCCACTGCCTGGTCCTTTTAACTGGAGATGCCGGGGATCGAACCTGGGACCTTCTGCATGCCAAGCAGAGGCTCTGCCACTGAGCCACAGCCCCTCTTTACAGCTCTCCAGGTCTCAGGCAGAGGTCTTTCCCATCACCCACTGCCTGGTCCTTACAACTGGAGATGCCGGGGATTGAACCTGGGACCTTCTACATGCCAAGCAGATGCTCTACCACTGAGCCACGCTCCCCCCAGACCTCCCCAATCACAGCAGCTCTCATACCAGTCAATGGCTTCCCCCAATGCCACCATGGGAACTGTAGGCTGTCGAGCTTTCCGCCCGCGAGAAGCGCTGACGTTTCATATTCGACAGCCTGCCCCAACCCACCAATAGAATGCCATGAGAAAGAGAGAAACTCACCTGGAACTGATACAAGGGGTAGTGCCCATAGAGGTATTCGCATTTCCCGTTCACCTGCAGGGTGTAATCCTCGGGGCTTTCCACCCTTTGGTGGCGGAAGACAGTGGCTTGCTTCTTGATCGCGTAGCTGATGAGCGTCACGGGGAACTCCTGCAGGGAGATCTGAAAAGTGAAGCTCTCCTGCAACGCCAAGAGGAACACACCTCGAGTAAGAACTGGAATTTAAAGCACTCCGGACACGAAACATCCTGTTTCCTCTAATGACAATCTGACCCTGGGCCGGGCGGCAGGGGGACACACCCTAATTTTGGCAATACTTTTGGCAGGTCTACTCAGCAAACGTCTGTTAGCCTCCTACCTGCTTAACCGTCATGGCCTCCCCACAATGGCTTCTGGGAACTGTAATTTAGTGAAAGCGCTAGGAGTTCTCTATCAAGAGTCCTCAACACCCGCCTATATGCAATCCCTTATGTGCTGGAATATCCTTTTCCCCCCTGAGGGGAATTATTATTATTATTTATTTTTATTTTTTATTTAACTTTCGATTTCTAGACCGCTCACCCCCGAAGGGCTCTGAGCGGTTTACATAGTACAATTTTACACTTCTAACTAGGGCCACAGACAGTATTGGCGGGGGGGGGAATGCCTACCAGGCACCCTACCGGCTAGCTGTTCTGTTAATGAAGGGTCATTGTGGAGTGACAATTCTTTGAAATCCCGGACTTGCAATTGTTTATTTCCGTGGTCAGTACCCCTCTCTTAACTACTGACTCCAGAAATGTGAGATCAATAAGCCAGTTTGGTGTAGTGGGTAGGAGCGCAGACTCTAATCTGGGAGAACCAGGTTTGATCCCCCACTCCTCCACTTGCACCTGCTGGATGACCTTGGGCAAGCCATAGTTCTCGGAGCTGTTCTCTCAAGGGCAGTTCTCGGGAGAGCTCTCTCAGCCCCGCCTACCTCACAGGGTGTCTGTTATGGGGAGGGGAAGGGAAAGGAGATTGTAAGCCGCTCTGAGACTCCTTCGAGTAGTGAAGGGCGGGGTGTAAAGCCAATATCCTCTTCTTCTTTAGTTTCGTGATTGGGCTTAAAGGCATACTCTGTCTCTCTCAGAGAACTGAGTATGAACGCATACTGAAGCTGCCTTATACTGAATGAGACCCTTGGTCCATCAGTTGGCAACTCAGACTGGCAGCGGCTCTCCAAGGGCTCACATCACCTGTTCCCCCGTCCTTTTAACTGGAGATGTGGGGGGATGGAACCTGGGACCTTCTGCATGCCGAGCAGAGGCTCTGCCGCTGAGCACCTCAGGAGGGCTGCAACCCTGCACACCCTTTCTTAAAATCATGGGCAGTTTCCCTTCCACGGCGAAGTGCAAGGAAACTGTCCATAAAGCAGTTACGGGATAGATAGTCCCACCGAACACCCTTTCTGGAAGACAGAACTCTCTGAGTTCAGTAGGAGTTATTTCTCAGGAAGCGTGCGTAGGATCGTGCTGAATATTGTGGAATCACCTTGCTCAGTAAGAAGTGCCCAAAAATGCCATAATATGTTACGAGTTTAGGCAGAAATGCTTCCTCCTTTCTGCAGGCCTCACGCTCAGACTGTCCTCCCTGCATCGCAGGGCTTGTTTAGCGGTGGCCCCAAAGCTAAGGAAAGCACAGCTTCAGGAGATTTGCCTCTCGCTCTTTCTCCAACCATTTCCAAAGCAGCTGAAGGCATTTCTATTTACAAAGGGTCTTCAGGACTTATTTTTAAGCAGATCCTGAAGGCTAACCTCTTTACAACTCTGGCTGCTGTAATATTTTGTGCGGAAAGTGACTTATAAAATTTTAGCCGATGGATACATTTGTGTGCATAAGATCCTAGCCTTTCATCACACACCTCTGACTACTGAGAGCCAGTCCGGTGTCGTGGTTAGAGAGCTGGACAAGGATCTGGGAGAGCCGGGGGTTCGAATCTACACGCTGCCATGGAAGCTCACTGGGAGAGCCTGGACCAGTCACACACTTTCAGCCTACCTCATAGGGTTGTTGTGGGGGATAAGATGGAGGAGAGGAGAAGCCAGTCACTAAAGGCACAATCTAAACGGAGTTTTAAAACATTTAAAGGAAGTAAACACCAAACCCCTAAAAATCTGCACACAGTTATAATTTGTCGAGTTTTTAAAAGAAAGCTTGAGATGTTACCCCTCCAGATTCGAATCGGACGTTGATGAAAATGTTCTTGTTGGGACCCCGGTGGGGGCTGGTCCGGAGGCCGTTGGCCACGGGTTCCAGTTGCACCGGGAAGCAATACTCCATCCAAGCCTTCCAAGTCAGCTGCTGCCGCCGGGCTGCTCTCTCTTCACAGAACTGTTGCATTCGGGCACGGAAACTGTTCACTTCAGGGTCACACAGGGAGTCGAATTCGTGCAAACCTGAACAGGTAAGAACCGCAAGCCACGAGTCATGATTTTCTTTAAAATGGAGTTGAGCTTGGAGTTTGTGCGAAAATCTGCCCATCCACGCCACAGAGGCCCGAGTTCGAATCCCTAATCAGTCATGAAAGTCACTGGGTACTCTTGGGCCAGACTCTTTCAGTTCAGCCTATATCGCAGCATTGTAGGAACATAAAATGGGGAAAGAGAGAACCACGGACACCAACCTGATCTCCTTGGAGGATGAGATGGATGGAGAGGGAAACTTCAAATATTTTTACACCCCTCAGGGGTCATTTATAACCCCCCTATCCAAAGGAAGTCTAGACATCCACCGCATACCCCCACAACCTCTGAGTATAGAGCAAGGGTCACTAAAGGAGTGCGGGTGGTAGCTGTGCATTTCCTGCATTGTGCAGGGGGTGGGACTAGATGACCCTTGGGGTCCCTTCCAGCTCTATGTTTCCAAGTTCTCTTTGCTTCACCCTAATTCCATCGCGAAACAAGCAACTTAGACTGCTTAGCCCACCCTGCTCCACTTTGGTGTAATGGTTAGGAACGCAGACTCTAATCTGAAAAAACTGGGTTTGATTCCCCACTCCGTCACTTGCAGCTGCTGGTGTGACCCTGGGTCAGTCACAAGTTCTCTCAGAGCTGTTCTCTCAAGGGCAATTCCCGGGAAAGCTCTCTCAGCCCCACCTACCTCATAGGGTGTCTGTTGTGGGGAGGGGAAAGGAAAGGGATTGTAAACTGCTCTGAGACTCCTTCGGGTAGTGAAGGGCAGGGTGTAAATTAATACTTCCTCTAAGCTGTGGAGTCTTGTGAGCAAAAATTCCACTTTGTAAGCTACTGGCATTAAAGTTGTGAGCGAGCTATTTGGCTACTGCATAAATCAGTTTCTCTGGAGCAGTGTTCCCTCTAAGCTGAGTGAGTGTGAGCTAGCTCACAGTTTTTTAGCCTCCAGCTCACACGTTTTTTGCCTCCGCTCAGGAAGGAGGGCTCCAGAGCAAACTAATTTACGCAGCAGCCAAATCACTCGCTCACAACTTTCAGGCCAGCAGCTCACAAAGTAGCATTTTTGCTCACGAGACTCCACAGCTTAGAGGGAGCCTCGCTCTGGAGCCCTCCTTCCTGAGCGACAACAAAAACTTGTGAGCCGGAGGCTAAAAAACTGGGAGCTAGCTCACACTCACTCAGCTTAGAGGGAACCCTGGTGTCAAGCCAACCTCTTCTTCTCTCCCTATTAGCCACAGGGCTGAAGCACAAATGAGCGGGTAATGCCCACGAACGTTGCCACCTTCTGCGCAACGTGAGCAAGCCACGTACCGATGATCTCTCAGACCACCCAGAAAGCCGCTCTGCCCTCTATCGGATCCACAACCCAGCTGCCCACCCAGGCAAGAGGCGAGCGGGGCCCTCCGGCTCCCCACCCACCCGCTCCCTTCCCACAGCCACGGCTTCCAGCCCCTCCACGACCTCCTGCGGGGGGGCGCTCACCTTTGCCGATCAGCAGGCTGATCTGCGAGTTGATGAGCTTCTTGGCCCGGTCCCCTTCGCGAGCCACGAGCCGCAAGACCGGCAAGAAGGGGTGGACGTCGCAGAGGCGGCGTTGCTCGTCTTCCAGCTCCTGCTGCTCGGCCGTCTGGTTGATGCAGGTGAAGACGTAGGCCTCCGGGCCGCTGAGCATCTGGAAGAGGGGCTCGTACTGGGCATGGTGCCAGACGACCTGCCACAAACAAAGGCGGGATTGGTTGGTGCTCCCTTCTCTGGTCCGCCCCCTTCCCCCCGCATGGAACCTTTTGACCCTACACAGTCCGGGACTCACAGGCCTTAAGGCCTTTGTATGTCAGCTCTCCGGGCACCATCGTCCACAGGATCAGGGCCCACTTTCATTACCATCAACCCTTGTGACGCTCACCATCCCTCTCTCCTTGAACTACAATTCCCAGGGTTCCAACGGGATGTGGAAATGATGTTAGCTGCTATGAGCAGGGCCTTCACAGTTGTGGCCCTAAGAATGATGAAGGACCTCCTTCTAGAAGGAGGGAGGGAGGGAAAAACTTGGGGTTTGTTATTCTATTCTGGAAATTATTAAGCCGCCTTGAACCACGAGGAAAAGTGGGGTATAAATGTTCAGACGGACAAACAAACAGATAGAACTGAGAAATTATTCCTTTGGCCTGCATTCCAATAGGGCAGCTGCAAAATCCTCCTTTTCTCTGTTAGGCCGCTGGGTTTTAATTTAAATAAAAAACTATATATCAGCCCTGGAGTCCCCAATATGGCACCCACGGACACCTTTCTTGGTGCCGGCCAAATGTGAGGCTAGTGGCCACTGGAAATTGGACTGACTGCACAGATTTTTACAATGTCGTTTTGGAAGCAGCTGCTGCCACAACAGAAGGATCTTCAGAGTATGACTGAAGGTAAGCGGCAGCAACCATTTTTTTGGCTGGCTCCGCCTCCTGCCGCAGCCATTTTGTCGCTGTGCCCACCAGGCTGTGTCAGAATTCCAAAGGTGTCCACAGGTTCAAAAGGTTGGGGACTCCTGTATTAGTCTCCTCAAAGAGAGAGCGAGAAAGAGAGAATGTCCCCACCACCCCAAAAAAAAAATTAGGAGGAGGAAGAGGAAGGAGGAGAAGAAGAGATTAGATTTGGTTTGGTGTAGTGGTTAAGTGTGCGGACTCTAATCTGGGAGAACCGGGTTTGATTCCCCTCTCCTCCACTTGCACCTGGCTGTATAACCTTGGGCAAGCCATAGTTCTGATAAGAGCTGTTCTTGGTGTCCGCCGCTCTTAACCACTGCACCAAACTGGCAGATCCAAGTCAAAAATCCCACACTAGCATTTAAGCGGGTGGTCGGCTCAAGAGTTCGAATCAAATCCCTTTTCTATTTATTCACAACAGGCATCTTGTACTACAAAAATCAGAACCTGTGTCCTGGGGCGACTAGGCATGTATTTTTCCGGCCCCTGAGGCCAGCACAACCAACTCTGGGTAGGAAAATTAGTGGAGATTTTGAGGATGGAGCCTGAGAAGAGCAGGGATTGGGGCGGGACCCCAGCAACGTACAATGCCAATAGAGTCCACCCTCCAAAGCAGCCATTTTCTCTACGGGAACCGATCTTGGTAGCCTGGAGATGAGTTGTGATTCCACGAGATCTCCAGGCCCCACCTGGAAAGGTGGCAACCCAAGGCCAGCATCATCTCTCACCATCTGACACCATACCTATTTCTTTTTTTTCAACCGAGCGGCCAAATTTTGCAAATCCCAGCCAGGAGAGGGCAAAAGAGGGTACCTGCTTGATAACGCCCAGGCTCGCATTGCAGGAGACGGGGAGCCTCAGGTAGATGCCTGTGGGCAGGAGGAAGTCGACGTCGATGCTCCGGTTGGCTTCTTGGGACCAAAACTCAAGGGGGCAGTAAATGCCAGGGGGCATCCTGCCGGATTCTCAGCTACAGCCTGTGGGAAAGAACGAGGACAGAAAACAAGCTCGCCAGCGTCCCTCAAAGGGCCTGGATTTATTGGCTTTCTGTTTGTCTATAAACGGACCACCCCAGTCCAGAATCCCGTCATCGTTATTATCCCGAGAAACCTGTTTTTCACTTTTGAAGAAGTCCGTTTGCGGTCCTTAGGACAAAGTTTTGAAAACAAGAATAAGGCAGCTTGCTCGAAAGGTTCCCATAAACGAGGTCGCTGCTAGCCCCTGAAGGAACAGGCCCATAGCTCGGGGGTGGCTCCTGGACCCAGGCCGACTGGTGAATAAACAGATGGCGGCTGCAGCCGAAAGTGCCTTCTAGCAGCTATGCCTGGCTAGCCAGTTGAAGCCTTTCCTGGGCCGGAAAGATCTGGCCGCTGTGGTGTGCGCCCTGGTAACATCTAGATTAGACTACTGCAATGTTGTCCATGTGGGGCGGCCCTTGGTAAGTGCTCAGAAATTTCCGCAGGGATAGAATGCTGTGGTTAAGAGGCTGAACTGCAGGCTGTGGAAGGTCAGTAGTTCAGCAGTTCGAGACCCAAGTGCGCTGCATGACGGAGTGAGCTCCCGTCTCTAGTTCCAGCTCCTGCCAACCTAGCAGTTCGAAAGCAAGAAATTGCAAGTAGATAAATAGGTACCACTTCGGTGGGAAGGTAACAGCGTTCCATGCGCCTCGGCATTTAGTCATGCTAGCCACATGACCACGGAAATGTCTTCGGACAGTGCTGGCTCTTCGGCTTTGAAATGGAGATGGGCACCACAACCCTAGAGTCGGATTCGACTGGCTTTCGAGCAAGGGAACCTTTGCCTTAGAATGCTGCTGCCAGGATATTGACTGGAATGGGTCGTAGGAACCATCTCACTCCAGTCTTGGTCCCTCTTGTTTCTGAGCCCAATTCAAGGTGCTGATCTTGACCTTTGAGGTCCTGTACAGGACAGGACCAGCAGTTCCTACTCCCAAGAGAACTTACCCAACTGCTACGATCGCCTTCTAAGGCTCTGCTGGGCGGCAACTCAAGGGAGGGCCTCCCCAGTTGTGGCACCAGAATTATGGAACTCATCCGCCTCCTTCCATCACGGTTTTCAACCTGCAGGCGAATACTTCTTCTGTTTGGTCTGGCGTTCCCGCAGAGATCTCGATGACTCTCCCACCCTGTATTTCAACTGCTCTTTTTGTGTTTTTACAAACTTGTGGTAGTTTTGGTTTTAATAGCTTTTCTGGATGTGTTTTCATAATGATTTTTTTTTTCCTTTTTAACCGTTAGCTGCCTTGGTGGCCCTGATTAGAAGGGATATAAAGGTTGTCGATAAACAGTCAACCACCAACACTTCTTTATTCTTTCTGGGCATGGACGCGGCAGGGAAGAGTCGGCGGTTGCCTAGCAATCCCTGGATTCAGAACTTCTGCCTGCCCCCCCTTCCTCCCCAGAAGGAAGCCAATGGCCTCCATTTCGAAGGCCACAAACTGTAGCACAGTGGCAGAGCGGGTGCTTTATTCCACCTTGCAAATCTGCAGTGATTAATGTTTTAAAAAATCATAAAGGAGCTCAGATTGCCAGATCTGGGTTGGGGGACTCCTGGAGATTTGGGGGTGGAGCCTGGGGAGGACAGGGACCTCGGTGGGGCACAAGGCCATAGAGTCCCCCCTCCAAAGCGGCCATCTTCTCCAGGGGAACTGATCTCTATGGACTGGAGCTAGTGGGAGATATGGTGCCGCGGTGGCTCAGAGGTTAAGACGCTGAGCTGCAGACCGGAAGGTCGGTAGCTCGGCAGTTCAAGACCCAAGTGCCGCGTGACGGAGTGAGCTCCCGTCTCTGGCCCCGGCTCCTGCCAACCTAGCAGTTCGAAAGCAAAAAATCGCAAGTAGATAAATAGGTACCGCTTCGGTGGGAAGGTAACAGTGTTCCGTGTGCCTTGGCGTCTAGTCATGCCGGCCACATGAGCATGGAGAAGTCTTCAGACAGCGCTGGCTCTTCGGCTTGTAAACGGAGATGAGCACCGCAACCCTAGAGTCAGATTCAACTGGCTTTCGAGCAAGGGAAACCTGTACCTTTACCTTTTTAGTGGGAGATATCCAGGTCCCACCTGGGGGTTGGGTACTCTAAGCTAATCAGACTTCCATCTCTCCCTCCCTACCGAACAAACCTCTTGTGCCTTTCACAGCTATGTGGCAGAAATTCAACAGGTGGCGCTTGCTGACATCTCACCCTTCACGGCTCTCGTGCAGGGCCAGGCCCAAGAGCTGAGACCCCTCACACCCGGGCGTGTTTTTCTATTGTCCCGAAGCACAGCTCTTATCTGCTAGAGGCACCGCAGCATGACATTTCCCCGTGCGTGGCTAAGCGGAGGCAAAGATTCCCAGAAGTGCGAGCTGCACTGTTTATCTGTCAAAACCACCCTGGTATCTCTCCAAGCCCAGATGCAAAGACCACAAACCACCAAGCTGAGTTCATAGGAAGGAAGAGAAAGGAAGAGGAGGAGGATGAGCCGGGGGGCGGCAAAGGCGCCCGAGCTCGATGGCTGTTGCAACAGCCAGCTGCAAGCTGACACCAAAAAACCCCACTTGCAGGATGCACTTCACTCTGGAACAATTGCTTTGGAGCCAGAAAGCAGCGCACGCGCTGACCAGGGGACGGTTCCTAAACGTGCCAAGCCCAAATGTGCCAAGACTGAAGACTGAGCCCGAAACGTCCCAGCCTCTTCTAGCAGACTCAAAGAGAGAAGGCATCCTCTTTCTCACTTGACAGATTTCCTTTAGAGCTTGTCTTCTGCTTGCGTGGCTGCGGAACAGGCCAGCTAACGGACCTTCTGTTGAGCTAGGCCATAAACAGCTCTGGATATCGTCTGCGTTCGGCTTCTCTGGGAACTGCATCGTTAACAACAGAAATACTTCCCAGAAGCGTTTTATGACATTCATCAATTGCGTTCTTACGTATGCGCAACTATGATTGTTGGGGAGGGAAGGAAGCATGGTGTAGCCCAGCCTCATGGGATCTCGGAAGCTAAGCGGGGTCAGTACTTGGATGGGAGACCGCCAAATAGGACACAGAGGAAAGCAACGGCAAACCACCTCTGTGTCTCACCTGCCTTGACAGTCAGTTTGGTGTCGTGGTTAGGGGCGTGGACTCTAATCTGGGAGAACCGGGTTTGATTCCCCACTCCTCTACATGCAGCCAGCTGGGTGACCTCGGGTCAGTCGTAAGTTCTCTCAGAGCTGTTCTTTCAAGGGCAGTTCTCTCAGAGCTCTCTCAGCCCCACCTACCTCGCATGGGTGTCTGTTGTGGGGAGGGGGAGGGAAAGGAGTTTGTAAGCTGCTCTGAGACTCCTCCGGGTAGTGAAGGGCGGGGTATAAATCCAATCTCTTCTTCTCTCTTCTTCTTGAAAGCCCCTTGCTGGGGTTGCCATAAATTGGGTGTGAATTGATGGCACTTATGTATATACGATTTTCAGACTGGTTTGGTTATTTTGCACTTAACACCTAGTAGTAGTAGTATTATCGTATGGCACTGTGTGTAGTATAGCCAGGAGATCCTAAGATTGTCTGGCAGCTAAAAAATTCAAGCTCTTTAAGCAATATGCACCATTAGGTTGTGAGTGAGACTTGTTTGGTGTAGTGGTTAAGTACACGGACTCTAATCTGGGGGAACTGGGTTTGATTCCCCACTCCTCCACTTGCACCTGCTGGATGACCTTGGGCAAGCCACAGTTCTGGCACAGCTGTTCTTGAAAAAGAGCAGTTTCTGTCAGAGCTCTCTCAGCCCCACCTACCTCACAGGGTGTCTGTTGTGGGGAGGGGAGGGGAAGGGAAAGGCGTTTGTCCCTGAGACACCTTTGGGCGGGGTACAAATCCAATCTCTTCTTCTTTTTAAGGCAAGAGACATTTCAGAGGTGGTTTGCCATTGCCTGCCTCTACGTCATGACCCAGGTATTCCTTGGAGGTCGCCCTTCCAAACACTAGCCAAGGCCGACCGTGCTTAGCTTCTGAGATCTAAGGAGATCGAGCTGGACTGGGCTATCTAGGTCAAGGCAGAAACACCTAGTTTGCAACGCAATGGTTAACAGATGTCACAATACACTTATTTACTGTATCTGATTGGTTTCTGGCCTTTGTTTAATTGAAGGAGTTTCCTCATGGTTTATGGGAACCCCATGACTGGCATGGACTTAAGCTATGCTGTTCATTCACCCCAGGCCTTCCAGAGGGCCCAGGAAGCAAAGGTAAAGGTAAAGGTTCCCTTGCTCGAAAGCCAGTCGAATCCGACTCTAGGGTTGCGGTGCTCATCTCCGTTTCCAAGCCGAAGAGCCAGTGCTGTCCGAAGACGTTTCCGTGGTCATGTGGCCGGCATGACTAAGCACCAAGGCGCACGGAACGCTGTGACCTTCCCACCGAAGTGGTACCTATTTATCTACTTGCAATTTCTTGCTTTCGAACTGCTAGGTTGGCAGGAGCTGGAACTAGAGATGGGAGCTCACTCCGTCATGCGGCACCCGGGTCTCGAACTGCTGAACTACCGACCTCCCACAGCCTGCAGTTCGGCGTCTTAACCACTTGAGCCACCTTGTCCAAAACTCCCAATATACGTTCACCAACATATTCTCAGCACTACTCTCCTGTGCCAAAGAAATCTGAATTCAGTGACTTCTGTAGAACATGAATGGTATCACTCTGTCCTGTTGGTTTGTGTAATTTGTTCTGTCAGTTGCAAACTGAGAGAGACCCTGTGCATTTCAGCCCCGCTTCCTAATGCCAGGAATTTTGACTCAGTCCCTCCGTGACTTTGGCTTTTGTGATTTCAACAGGCACTGCCCCCAACAAAATCCAGGCGGGTGAAGTTTTTAAAAAATGACACTGCAATGGAAGGATCCACGTAGCCTCCAAAAGCATCCAAAGCCTTTCGATGATAAAAAGGGGGAAACGAATCCAGTGTCATGAGGAAGAATCGTGCTTGCCATGAATGCGGGAGACCGAGACAGAAAAGTTAGGAAGAATTTGAAATCCAAACTGGATCTTTCCAGCGACTGTGCTTTTCCGGGGCAGAGCTTGCAGCCTTTGGTCATCTGCCTGGACAACCCTAGCCCAGGAAGCAGACTCATTCTTGGTAAATCCCCATTTCCTAGCCCTTGCTTCTAAGTTGCCACTGCTAGAAAACAGCAGTGCTTCCCTTTGCAAGCACTGGGCATTTGTGTTTTGGTGGAGATGGAGGCTCACGCTAGCTAGCAGCATAGGAGCTATAGGTCAATGCCTGTGACATCGCTGCCAGAACCTGGGCCACTGTGGCATTTAGTGCTCCCTCCCCTGCATTTCTCCCCTACACACACACACACACACACACACTCTATCCTCCAGCACTTGAGCATGCAACCTTTGGGGGGTGGAAAGAATCTAGTCTCTTACCCCTCTCCCCTGAGCAGGACGCGCCCTTCCCCCAGCAAGAAGGTCTACCTGTCTCTCTCCATACATGGAGACAGTGATGCTGATCAATGCGCTATCATTGCGCTAGGAGTAGAAACATGAAGGCCCAGAAAAAAACTGGGAAAATTGGAGGGGGGGGCTTTTATTCCTGTTTTTTCCAAGGCGTTTTTTTTTATTGTTCCAATGGAAAAATTTGAAATTTTGTGGGGGGGAAACTCCTATGAACTATTTTCTCTTTTAGAACAAGCGGAATCATTTTAAGAAGAAGAAGAGGAAGAGAAAAAGAGATTGGATTTATACCCCGCCCTTCACTTGGAGTCTCAGAGCGGCTTACAAACTCCTTTCCCTTCCCCTCCCCACAATAGACACCCTGTGAGGTGGGTGGGGCTGAGAGCGCTCTGACACAAACGGCTCTTTTTCAAGGACAGCTGTGCCAGAGCTTGTGACTGACCCAAGGTCACATCAGCAGGTGCAAGTGGAGGAGTGGGGAATCAAACCTGGTTCCCCCAGATTAGAGTCCGCACACTTAACCACTACAACAAACTGGCTCTCTTAAGGTGGGCCTCTTTAAGGACAAGGTGGGCATGCCGTGGGCATATACCGCTCTTAAATCTGAGATGCATTTTTGCACTTGGAAGGGTAACCAATCTTCGTGAGGGGAGCGTGCAAGGCTTTCACTGCTTCTCAACGGTTGCGTGCCTTCTGTTGTCCTTCTGCCCAGATGTGGGTGACTTTTTCATCTCTCCCTCAAAGCACTCTGACATTTACACACAGACCCGGTAAAAAGTAGCCTATTGCACAACCTTGCAGGAGGGAATTAAAAAAAGATCAGACGGAGACGAAGCAGAAACTGCATCAACGCCTTAGAGAAAAACTCAAAAGTTACACTGAGAACTGAGCTGTCTCTAACCAGACTGCGGAAAATTAAGGTACACGTGCTAAGATAGCATACGGCGTGTCAGCCTGCAGTTTTCTCTCACTTATTGGGTATATTTGCAATTTTGCTTGTACGAAACTAAGGCTTTTTTCTCTCTCGTAAGCTCAAAAGGAGAATGGAATAAAATTGGTTAGGCCTGCATCGATGGGCGGCAATATTTGAAGTAATGTATTTCGTCCCAATCTCGTGATAGAACTCACAGAATAAAAGCACAGGCTTAATTGGCTCACCCAACCCAAATTTACAAGGGCAGAGACGGCTTACATATGGGATGTGAGCATATCTCCCCATAAGAGCAGAGGGGAGGGCGTTAAATCGTACTAAAGTAAAACTTCTTCAGCATCTCGAGAGTTCTAACAAGGAAAGATAACTGGACGGAGCAAAATTTTGGTTTTTATTCCCCACTACCAGAATGTGTGAAGCTCAGGCTCTGTCCATTCGGAGACCGGTGTCCCATAATCTCTGTTTAATAATCACTCTGGATTCTTGGAATCCAAGGTACAGGAGCACTGTACTGGAGAAGTCCAGTAGTGACAATTTATGTTCTCTTGTGGAAACCCAGCTTGAACCGAAACTATCTAGGAGGATTAAAGAAATTAACCCTGGGGGGAGAAATTTTTACCTTATGCCAAAAACATATGACATGAATTTCCAATGATACTAATCCAGCCTCAAGACAAGGCAAAGTGTTGGGAACACATCTTGGAACCCCAAATAAAGATCTTAAAAATTCTGAATGAATTGCTTCGAGTTTAGAGTAGTTTTTTTACAAGGATACCTGCGCACCATACATAAACTGGTGTACCGTCTTTGAGGTTTTTCCATACAGAAGGGGGAGCTTACATTCCTTATGCCCTGAAGGTTTTTCACGGCATAAGGAATGTAATCTCCCCCTTCTGTATGGAAAAACCTCAAAATTGCAAATCCTGATTTTTGGGCGGACTCCATAACCTGGGAAAGGTGAGCGCTAAGGCATTCATAACTTTCAAATACCATAAATATGTCACATATGACAACTGTACATGCTAATTAAATGATAAATTATGCATTTTTTGTTGTTCAATCAGTACGATTAATTCAGGTTTGACAGGACAGTAAGTATTACAAATATTTGAATTTCCCCAAAAAATTCTGTTCCCCCCCCCCCCAAAAAATGGGAAAAATATCTTTTTTCATGGCTTCAAAATCTCTGGAAATGTTAAATCTCTAGCTAGAAGACAGAATTCTGATCCATCGAACAAAGCACAGTGAAATTCTTAAAGTGTCCCATGGCACTGGCCAAAGCAAAGAGGGGCCATTGCTCAGTAGTAGAGCATCTGCTTGGCATGCAGAAGATCCCAGGTTCAATCCCCGGCATCTCCAGCAAAAAGGACCAGGCAGTAGGTGATGTGAAAGCCCTGTGCCTGAGACCTTGGAGAGCTGCTGCCAGTCAGAGTAGACAATACTGACCTTGATGGACTGATTCAGGATAAGGCAGGTTCATATCTTCACAGAATCTCACACGGCTGGCAACCAGGAACAAGCCTGATTCATGGCACAAGCGCAGCTAAAATACCTCCCCAGACAGCAGGAAAAGAAAGCAGGGACGTCTTTGCAAAGGTGGAGGGCTTGTGAGAGATGTTCAGAGAGTAAAGGATAACAGGAAGTGGGCAATTTATTCTAGCCAGCGATAACGAAGAAGCCGAGAGGCCGGCAGCCAGCCAAGTGTACGCATGTGTACAGTTATGCATAATTCAGAAGCAATAAAACCCCTTTCCTTTCACTCCGGCAACAACCTTCCGCAAACACAGCCCACACACCGCCTTAAGCTTTTCTGTGCAAAACCCGGGAGCAGGCTCTTGTCTGTAATGTCTTTCCTTTAAAACAAACACACAAAAAGTGAAGTTCTCGGGATTCCGGAACGATGCACCAGAATCCAGATCAGCTGCCGCGACCAAACCAAAGAGGAAGTGGCAGAAATCACCTGCCCGGCCCATTTAATTTTCACCCACCTCACAAGTAGAACAACGCGGATGTTCCAACGCATAGACTGGGACCCTAACTTTCATCTACGAAGGCAAAGTACTGAAGGCGGCTTGCGAGATCAACCTAATTAAAATAATTACAGCTACAGACAGAATCAATTTTAATGCACCATCAGAACCTGAAATCCAAAAACCACCCACAGGAGGGGAAGAAAGCAACCAGAAACAAAAGAAACCCTGTCATTAGTTTGGAAGCCTTTACGATCAGCAGCCGCGAACAAAAACAGCATGAAAACAACTTCAAGACAGAACAGAACATTCCACTGTCCGGAGGCTACTACTGAAAAGGCCCTGCCTCCACGCTCGCCAACCTCATTGCCATGAATGTAGACCTGGGCACCAATGGCCAATCTCCGAGCCCAGGCAGGATAAGGCGGGCAGATGTTCTCTATCAGACATACCTGGAGAAAGTGGAAAGTAATCACAGCCTCACAGCTCTTCAGAGGCTGCGCATTCAGCGCATGAGCACACAAAGACACAATCCAGATTTTCTGTGCAAAACACACAGAAAAAGCACACAAACACAATCCAGATTTCGCACCGCCACCACCACCACCACCTAGAGCACAGCTGTCCCCCCCACCCATCTCCAGGACATGGAAACAGGAATATATTCTCACTTGGGACTCCCCCCACTCCCCAAGCCCTTGCTGAGTTTATTTCAATGCACTGGAGTTTATTTCAATGCACTGAAACCGGGTTTTGTCTCCCAGAGAGCTGAGGGGGCTCAGTCCCATTTCCAACCTAGCCCCCCCCCTCCGGACCCCCTCGCCCGCCGGCATCTAAGCCTAACAGCATAACAGCATTCTGCACATGCCCAGAGACACCCCTGCCCTGATTACCTCTGTTCCCTTTCCGCTGGCACCCGGATTCCTCGAGAGCCGCTCTTCTCTCTTCCCTGGCCCTGAGCCCCCCAAGCGGAGGGCCTCGGGAAGCCCTCCTCCACCCCCGCCCCCCCAAAAAAGAAAGGAGCATGAAGGCGCAAGAGGGACCCGTGCGCCCCTGAGCAGCTGAGAAAAGCCAGCAGCACATGCAGGAAGGAGGAAGGCGAGACAAGCCGCGTGGATCCCCGGGGGGGAGGGAAGCAGCGCTGGCAAAGTGATGCTGGCAATTGCAAAGCGGCCCCCCCACCGACACAGCCCCCCATATGCAACCACCGACCTGACCAGCGCATCCCTCCTCCGGCAGCCGGGAGGCGACGAACTCTACGCTTCCTGCCGGCCGGGCCACTTTGCAAACGCTCCCTGCCTGGCCTGGCGCGGCCGAGC